TGGCCGTGGCCGTGGCCGTGGCCGTGGCCGTGGCCGTGGCCGTGGCCCTCCCGGTGCTTGGAGCGGCCTGTGTGCCGCACGTGGGCCGGCCGCGGCGAGAGGAAGTGAAGGATGAGTCAGCTGCCAGAGCCCAGGCACGCCCGGGGGCGGAGTTGCGGGCAGGATGGGAGTGGGGACAGTGAGGGACCCAGGGGGCCGGCCCCTGCCCCTGCCGCCCCCTGCCGGCACCCCACGTCCCGGAGTCTCGGCCTGCACGGAGGGCCCGTCTGGAGGGGCCTGGGCAGCCTGGCAGGGCCGAGGGCAGCCGCGGCGGCTCTCCCCGGGCTTCCCGAGAGCCGCCTTCTGAGCTGTGACTGTCAGAGCGGCCAGGCCCTGGCGCTGAGCCTGCAGCCCCATCTGCTGCCAGGACAGGGTGCCCAGTGAGGAGGCGGGAGCAGGCCCGGAGCCACCCTCACCTGACGGGTGAGCAGCACGAGGGCGGGCGGCCGCTGGAAGTCACTGGACCGGGCAGCGTCCGGGGGAGGTGCCGGCCTGCAGGTCGGTCTGTCACCTCCTGGCGCAGCGGGCCTGGCTGGCTCTCGTCCGGGCCGAAGGGAGGCGGGAAGAGGGAGCCACGGCCTGGCCAGAGCCACACGCTCCTTCCTGCAGTCCCACAGCCCTGCCCTGGGACCACAGACTGACGCTGAGCCCTGGTGTGGGGGACCCCGTGTTACGGTCTGAGGGTGGACAGCACGGTGAGGGCGAGGCTGCCCAGGGAGAGGGTGAGGGCGCATTGTGGGTGTCTGAACACCTCCCACGTGCCAGGGGACGAATGGGGTGGCTGCCCCACCCCCAAAGGGGCCACATTGTTCCCCGTTGTAGATGAGTGTGTGCTCAGTGGCCGTACAGCTCTGTTTCCTGGAAGGCGGGCCCTCGCCCTGTCCCACGCCCCTCCTTAGGGTTTAACAGAGGGCCCTGTCCTCTGCCCATGTGTGGACACCTCTCCTGGCCCACAGTCTGCACGGGTCACGGCCTCCCCACCCCAGCCTCTCAGAGGGGCCAGCCTGAACCCCCCTCCTGCACCTGACCCCTTCGCCCTCCCCCAGGCCCTCCCCACCTGGCCCTTCCCCCTACACTGAGCTCCCTGAGGGCAGGCCGGGGCCTGCGGGGCTGGGATTCCACAGGCCACCCCCAGCCCCCACTGTGGGCCTGGGTGGCTGAGCCATGGCCGTCAGCAAGGCCACGCCACTGCAGTGGCCTGGACAGGCCCCCGGCCTCGCTTCTCCCCGAGGCAGGGGGCAGGCTGGACCGGCCCACACGGCTCTGGGGCACACGGTGGGGCCTGTCCCAGGCCTCGGTCGCCACTGTCTCTGGGTCCCCAGGGCCTGCAGCACCTCGTCTCTGACAGAGCTGAGGAGAGGATGGGGGCAGGAGAGGACCCTGAACCGCGGGCTGGGGTGGCCACGGCGTGTGCTGGCCAGTGGTGTCTGGTTGCTGGTGACTGGCCTGGCTTGGGGGGCGGGGCTCAGAGCCACGTGCTGTCCTGAGTGGGAGGGCAGGCAGGGAAGAGGGAGCGGGAGAGCCCGGGGGCAGGACAGCGGAGGGGCGAGGTTTCCAGGGGAAAAGCAGCTGAGGAGGCGGGGCGGGAGCCAGGGGCCCTAGCCGATGGCCGAGGTGGGTGCTGGCGTCCCCGAGGCGGGTGACAGGCTCGCTGTCCATCTCGGGGGGCCTGTGAGGCAGGGAACAGCTCCCCAGCTTGTTGTCCATCTCACAGCCTCTCCACCGGCCTCACAGAACAGTGTTTGTGCCCCATCCGAAACGGACTGTGGTCTGGGCCCCGTGTTTCCAACCTGAACAAGGCCACTCCCCTGCCTGGGTCCCGCTCCATCCCCGTCCCCTGGGAGGCCCCCTCCACCCCCACCCCCCGGGAAGGCCCCCCCACCCCCATCCCCCGGGAAGGCCCCCCCACCCCCATCCCCCGGGAAGGCCCCCCGCACCCCCACCCCCCGGGAAGGCCCCCCATCCCCCGGGAAGGTCCCCCCCCCATCCCCCGGGAAGGCCCCCCCACCCCCATCCCCCGGGAAGGCCCCCCATCCCCCCATCCCCCGGGAAGGTCCCCCCCCCACCCCCATCCCCCGGGAAGGCCCCCCCCACCCCCATCCCCCGGGAAGGCCCCCCATCCCCCGGGAAGGCCTGACCCTCCGCTGCTCTCCACCAGCCACGGCAGGACGGGAAGCATTCGGTGTGTGGATGGGAGGCTGGACGTCCCGCACCTGCGGGATGGCCGGGCAGGACCTCACCTGTCCGGCCCCGCGCTGGGCCCAGGGCACCGCGGCTCCCGGAGGCGGGGGCGTTGATGCCTGCCGCCCACTGGCCGCCGGGGGTGCCCGGCACAGCCTCTGAATTAGGCAAGTGTGTTTCGCAACTGGCTGCTCAGTTGTGTGATTAGAACCAGCTGAGTGCGGTGTTGGCCTGAGTCACGGTGAGCGCGCCGCCAGCGCAGTCACACGCAGGGCCTGGCCGGGCTCGGTGTCTCCGGAATGTTCTGCTCCTATCAGATGTGGGAGCAGCCAGTCTCCCGCAGGAGACGAGTTCAGAGCAGACGTCCGCGGGGACAGCGATGGGCTGTGCGGGCTCGCCGCGTCAGGACGGCGTCTCAGCCGCGCACCTCGCTTCCAGCTGCCAGGACGCGGGGCGTCGCGGGGTCACACCGCCTCCTGCCCGGTGTGGCACTCCGCGCACCGAGCCTGCCGTCTTCACATCTTGGCGGTAAAGAGCCTATTGTGACCTATTTACAAAGTACTCCAGGATCGCAGGGTGTCGTCCTAAATTCTGTAATTAGAGATGAGACCTGTCCCATCCCGGGATTAATTCTGTGCACAACGTAACCCAAATCACAGCTCTCTCCTTGTACGATTTTTCAGATGTTTTCGTTGTGTTTTAGGTACAGAGGAAGGGAGGAGAGGGAGAGAGAAGCATCAGTGATGAGAGAGAATCGTGGGTCGGCTGCCTCCTGCATGTGCCGCACCGGGTGGAGCCCGCAGCCTGGGCGGGTGCCCTGGCCGGGAACCGAGCTGGTGACCTCCTGGTTCCTGGGTCTGTCTCACCCGCTGAGCCCCGCCGGCTGGGCTCTCTTTTACGTTTTTTAAAAAGAAACCATTTTAACAAAAAGGTGCAAGCAGTTGGCTTACCTGCAGTGCTCTCTCTCACGCGCCTGGCGCGGGTGTGTCTGCACCACATGGGGCCTTGCTGGCCACGTGACCTGCTGACCTTTCCCGGGAGGCGGGGCTTTCTCCCTGACCCTGGCTGGGCCGGCAGGGGGCCTGGGGCTGGAGGTGAGGCAGGCGCGGGTGCCTCCGGGTGGGGAGGACGGGCGCGTTGACCTGTCCACTTAGCCACGTTCTGCGAGCACCCTGCAGCCGGGCCGCCGCCCCGCGGGGCAGACGTGGCGAGCAGGTGTGGTGCCAGCGTTGGCTGAAGGGGCCGAGTTTCCATAGCAGCAGAGTGGGTTGGGGGAGCTTTAAGGAAGGGGAATTGTGGGCCGAATCTTTGTCTTTTTTTACGTCCTCACCCGAGGTCATGTTTAGAGACAGAGAACATCCTCCCGTCCGCGCCCTGCGCGGGGACCACACCCCACCCTTTCGGTGGATGGAGCGCCGCTCCAACCAGCTGACCCCCAGCCCGGGCCTAGGCCTTCCTTTTCTAACAAATATGTTCTTATTGATCTCAGAGAGGAAAGGAGAGGGAGAGAGGCAAACATCTACGATGAGAGAGAATCCTGGACCGGCTGCCTCCTGCACCCCCCCTCTGGGGATCAAGCCCTAACCTGGGCCTGGGCCCTGACCGGGCATCCAACTGTGACCTCCAGGCTCAGAGGCCAACGCTCCACCATCGGCCACGGGCCAGGCTCTCTCTTTCTCTGTGTTTGGACCTCGGGGCTTTGAGCTCCCGAGTCTCGCACGCGCCAGCCTGCTGGTCCCAGGCTCAGTCCGTGCGCCCAGCGGTTTGTAATGGACAGCCCCCAGCCCCACTCCCCTGCCTGGGGTGTCCTGGCCCGTGGCTCCCCCTGCGTGCCGCCCTCGAGCCCACACCGCGCTGTTGTGCTGCCGTCGCTTCCTGGGGGCGGGGGTCCCCTCCCTCACCCTCATTGGGATTGGATCTTGAAGGACTGGTCGAGTGGGCAGGCTCGGGGGCCAGAGATGATAAGGAACATTCTAGGCCAGGGCAGGACGGAACGCAGGCAGGCGAGGGGCCAGGTGTGTGCTGGGGCGGGAGGGTTCCGGAGAGGCTGAGGAGCACAAAGGCTCAGGTGTTTGCAGAAGCTTCAGGTGTGGAATGGCCTGGCGGGGAGGGTCTGGGACGAGGTTGGTGGGGGCCTGGAGGGGTCGGTGGGGCGGCCTGCAGTGCCCAGGAGGCTGGGAGGGTCTGGGATGAGGTTGGTGGGGGTCTGGAGGGGGCGGTGGGGCGGCCTGCAGTGCCCAGGAGGCTGGGAGGGTCTGGGATGAGGTTGGTGGGGGTCTGGAGGGGGCGGTGGGGCCGCCTGCAGTGCCCAGGAGGCTGGGAGGACCTGGGACGAGGTTGGTGGGGGTCTGGAGGGGACGGTGGGGCGGCCTGCAGTGCCCAGGAGGCTGGGAGGGGCTGCAGGAGGCAAAGCAGCGTGGGCAGCAGGTTCCACGGCTGCCGTGCGGGGCACAGACCAGGCCCGGGAAAGGTGCCCTCTGCCCGGAGCCGCGGCGCTTGCAGGACCCTGGGAGGCGAGGAGACGGCAGGCGCCCGGAGCATTCGGAAAGCAGCCAGAGGCCAGTGCGGCCCCCCGGGCGCCGGGCTCCGGTTTCCAGGGTGACCTGGGAGTGAGGTGGGGACAGGCTTTCCGTGTGGCCGCCTGGAGGGGCGTCCTGGGCGCCCATCGGCTCTGCTGCCCCCTCCAGGCGGGATGGGGAACCTCCCTGCTCAGCGTGCCAACCTGCCGGGCTGGTTAAGCCGGCCCTGCCCTCCCGGGAAGCCGCGGCCAGACCTCAGCCCGGCAGCCACAGGGGAGCACCGCAGACCTCTGGGCTGAGGCCGGAGCGGAGCGGCCGAGGCCTGGCTGGTGCGGGGTCCGGGCAGCCTCGGGGCCCGCCTCCCTGCGCTGTGCACGGGGTCCTGGCGGGAGGCCCGCGCCCCGGAAGGCCCCTTGGAGAGCCTCGGTGCAGGGCTGGTTCCTCGGAGAGGACCTGAGGCCCCGCGGGCGGGCGGCTGGCGATGGTGCGGAGCCGGCTCGGACCCGGAGGCCCCTGAGCCATGTCTCTCCCCGACGGCAGGTGACTGCGGGCGGGTCTCGCCCGACCGGATGGAACAAGGGCCACTTTGTTGGCCCGGGCTGTTCCGGGGCCAAGTTTGCGTGAGCTGCCGGCTCCTGCCTCCGCCCGGCGCACCTGGCCTGTCGGGGGCGGGGAGGCGGCCGTGGGGGGGGCTGAGGTGGGAGGGTTTGGTGGGGGGGGCAGTCAGAGGGAGGGAGGGCTGACCCCTGGCCCCTGGGGTCGGAGCCTGAGCATCCTGACCTGCACACTCTCCACCCTTCCTGACGGCCTCTCCGTGGCTCCCCGGCTCCTCGAGGGGGCGTGCCTGGTACTGCTCTGCTGTGAGTGCTGTGTGCATGGAGGCTGGGTGGGTCCCGGGGCAGCCTGGGGCCGGGTGTATTGGGAAGGCTGTGCCCTCAGCTGTGGGGTGGGAGCTGGTCCCCTGGGGCTGGTGGACCCGATTCCAGAGCCAGGAGTGTTCAGGCGGCCTGCGGGGCGGGAGCCGGGTGCAGTGAGGAGGAGCGGCCGGGCGGGAGCCGGGTGCAGGCGTGCGCGCCGCGCGGTGACCGCCACACCAGCAGGCTGGCCTCCCTGGCCGGCCCGGTGAGGAGGCCAGGGCTGGGCAGACGGGTCCCGGGGGCCGGTCACAGGATGCGTGGGAACAAGCCGGCTGAGATGTGGGGCAGCTGGGATGTCACGAGGGAGCGGGTTCGGGGCCTGGGACCGGGGCCTGGGGCCTGTGCGGCCAGCAGCCGCGTTTTCACGCTGTGATCCGGGGTTCGCTTTGGGGGGGAGTCGAGGCCCCGTGCCCCCCGCTCCCCGTGCCCCCCGCTCCCCGTTGCCCCCGCTCCCCGGGCCCCCCGCTCCCCGTGCCCCCGCTCCCCGGGCCCCCCGCTCCCTGTGCCCCCCGCTCCCCGTGCCCCCGCTCCCCGGGCCCCCCGCTCACCGGGCCCCCCGCTCCCCGTTGCCCCCGCCCCCCGCTCCCCGTGTCCCCCGCTCCCCGTGCCCCCCGCTCCTCCCCGTGCCCCCCGCTCCCCGTGCCCCCCGCTCCCCGTGCCCCCCGCTCCCCGTGTCCCCCGCTCCTCCCCGTGCCCCCCGCTCCCCGTGCCCCCCGCTCCTCCCCGTGCCCCCCGCTCCCCGTGCCCCCCGCTCCTCCCCGTGCCTCCCGCTCCCCGTGCCCCCCGCTCCCCGTGCCCCCCGCTCCCCGTGTCCCCCGCTCCTCCCCGTGTCCCCCGCTCCCCGTGTCCCCCGCTCCTCCCCGTGTCCCCCGCTCCTCCCCGTGCCCCTGCTCCCCGTGCCCCCCGCTCCCCGTGCCCTCCGCTCCTCCCCGTGCCCCCCGCTCCCCGTGCCCCCCGATCCCCGTGTCCCCCGCTCCCCGTGCCCCCGCTCCCCGTGTCCCCCGCCCCCCGGCCCCCCGCTCCCCGTGCCCCCCGCTCCCGCTCCCCGTGCCCCCGCTCCCCGTGCCCCCCGCTCCTCCCCGTGCCCCCGCTCCCGTGCCCCCGCCCCCCGTGCCCCCCGCTCCCCGGGCCCCCCGCTCCTCCCCGTGCCCCCGCCCCCCGTGCCCCCCGCTCCCCGTGCCCCCCGCTCCCCGTGCCCCCGCTCCCCGGGCCCCCCCCGCTCCTCCCCGTGCCCCCCGCTTCCCGTGCCCCCCCGCTCCCCGGGCCCCCGCTCCCCGAGCCCCCCGCTCCCCGCTCCCCCGTGCCCCCCGCTCCCGCTCCCCGTGCCCCCCGCTCCTCCCCGTGCCCCCGCCCCCGTGCCCCCCGCCCCCCGTGCCCCCCGCTCCCCCGTGTCCCCCGCCCCCCGTGCCCCCCGCTCCCCGTGCCCCCCGCTCCTCCCCGTGCCCCCCGCTCCCCGTGTCCCCCGCCCCCCGTGCCCCCCGCTCCCCGTGCCCCCCGCTCCCCGTGCCCCCGCCCCCCGCTCCCTGTGCCCCCCGCTCCTCCCCGTGCCCCCCGCTCCTCCCCGTGCCCCCCGCCCCCCGGGCCCCCCGCTCCCCGTGCCCCCCGCTCCCTGTGCCCCCCGCTCCTGAGCCTGGTGGGCCTGCAGGGCTCCGCTCGCTGTCGGCTCCTCTCCGGAAGCACCGGGGGAAATGGACCACTCCACCGATGACGTGGCCGACGGTGCCGGGCTCTGCTGAGAATGCCGCCGGCTCGTCACCGACTCCCGCAGGGTCACCGGGGCTGTCGCCTCCCTGCCTCCTGCAGTGGGGGGTGTGGTCACTGCCCAGGGTCTCCCCAGGGTGCAGGCTCCCACGGGACTGCAGGCTTACTCAGCAGAGGGGCCTGTGTGGGCTCAGGTCCTGGACATGGCGGCGTGGGGGCGTGGTGGTGTGGGGCTGCCTGCAGGGACGCCCAGGCTGCTGTCTCTGGACCCCCTTTCCCGCTTGCTTCTCTTCGGCTCCCGTGTCATTCATTCTCGGGCACCGTGGGCTCCAGGCTCATGCGGCCCCTTTCCCAAAGCGCCTCCCGGAGGCAGGTGTGTGGCCGACAGACCACGGTGCTCGTTCCCAGGGCAGTGGTACCGGTGTCACGTGTGTCTGCACACACGCGTGTGGGCCCAGGGGCCCTAGTGCAGGGATGCTCATGGGCGGAGGGCCTCCTGGAGGAGGAGACTGGCTGCGGAAGGGGCAGGGAGGCTGTTTTGAACGGGGGGTGGGGGGAAATGGGGCTGCCTAGGAGACGGCCGTGGGAGGACGTGAGGAGGAGGCCGTGGGAGGACGTGTGCTTTCGGGCTGCTCCTCTGCCTGAGCGAACCCCCGGGGGAGGGGGGGAGGAGGAGGAGGATGCGCTTCCGCTGTGGGGGTGCGGCCGTGAGGCCCCAGGGCAGGGCGCAGGGAGCCCGTGGAGGCCAGTGGGCCCGGCCCCTCCCCCCAGGCTGGCCCCACCCTCTCCAGCCCCGAAGCCCACGGGGCCTGGGCTGTTCCTCCACCTGCCGCCTCCCCCACCCGCCGAGGGTGTGCCCGGTGTGCCGCGTGGGCACGAGGGCCTGGGCTGCTCCCCAGGTGCCGTGCCGGGAGGTGACGGGTGGTGGAGACCGCCTTCGGCCCTGCTGCAGGCCCCCGCCGGGCTGGCAGGTGTGTCTGTGGACACAGCTCGGCTACAGGTGCGGAGGCCTGGCCCCGCCCCCTTCCGGGGCGCCCTGTGGGGCTGTCGCCCTCGGGTGGACGCCAAGGGCCCTCAGCCAGGTTTTCTGTCATCAACCAGCTCGGGGTGCACAACCTGCGCCGGCCTTCGCGAGGGGGCGGGGGCGAGCTTCCTGGAAAGAACCATCCTCCCCGCTCTGCGCCGTGCCCCACTGGGCCCCCACCCGTGTCTGCCGCTCGGGGAGGGCTCTGGTGCAGCTCCCACTGTCTCCTCCCCGGCGGGTCCCGGCCTCCGGACGGAACGGCCTGTTCTCCTGCAGCGCCCGCCTCCGGCTGGGACCGGCCAGGGCAGGCACGTGAGTCACCGCCGTGCTGCACATGTTTACCTTCGACCCCTGCGGAGGCGTTTGCTCTGCAGCCGCGGGCCCTGTCTCTCCTTCCTTTACTGCGTCACTCTGCTCGGAGAGGCCCTGCCAGCCCCAGGCTTCTGCGTCTCCCCAGGCCCTCAGCCTGAGAACCCAAACAGCCCCCAGGCCCGAGCTCCCCCCCGGCCCCCAGGCCCGAGCTCCCCCGAGGGCCCCAGGCCCCAGCTCCCCCCCGGCCCCCAGGCCCGAGCTCCCCCCCGGCCCCCAGGCCCGAGCTCCCCTACGGCCCCCAGGCCCGAGCTCCCCCCCGGCCCCCAGGCCCCAGCTCCCCCGCAGCCCCAGGCCCGAGCTCCCCCTCGGCCCCAGGCCCGAGCTCCCCCCCACCCCGGCCCCCAGGCCCGAGCTCCCCCTCGGCCCCAGGCCCGAGCTCCCCCCCCCGCCCCCAGGCCCGAGCTCCCCCTCGGACCCCAGGCCTGAGCTCCCCCCCGGCCCCTAGGCCCGAGCTCCCCCCCGGCCCCCAGGCCCCAGCTCCCCCGCAGCCCCAGGCCCCAGCTCCCCCGCGGCCCCCAGGCCCAGCACTCGGTTTGCCTCCACCTCCTGGCTGCCGGAGGAAGGGCCATGGTGCAGTCTGCCAGAGCTCAGTTCCTGGGGTGCGCTCCGAGGTGGGTTGTGGTCACGGGGGACCTGTCTTCGGGTCTCGGTGCTGTGTCCGGCCATGGCTGCGTGTCCGCGCGGGCTGTGGGCTGGAAGGAGGCCCGAGGGTGTCTGAGGTGTGCTGCGGCCGCGCTGGGCTCTGCGAGCCGGCCCTGGGCCCCCGGGAGCCGGCCCGGGCTCCCAGCGGCTCCACCTCCCTCTGGCCGGACCGGCGGGTGCCCGGCCGGAGTGCCCTCCTCGGCGCCCACAGGCCGCTCCGCGTGCCCTCAGCCGCCGCCCCCCGCCCCCTGGGGCCTTTCTGCCCTCTGCTGGGCGGAGCCAGGGCAGCACCTCCGCTCCCAGCCGGAGACGGTGCTCGTTAAACACCGGCCTAGACTGGGGGCAGACGGTCACGGTCCCCAGACTGTTCTGCGGTGTCCCGGCCGGACCTGAGCCGGGCGGTGCAGGCAGTCTGAGCGCCAGGGGACGGCCACGTGCACGTACAGGCTCAGGCGCGGCCTGGCCCCTCTGCCCGCAGAGCCTGCCGGGCTGCCGCCCAGGCAGACTGGGTGGGACTCACCTGTCCCCGCCGGGGCCTGGCCGGGCCTGGGCAGCGTGCAAAGAGGACTTGGAGGCTTTGGCTCTTTTAATGTTTCACGTCCCCGGACGGTGGAATCGAGGCTGGCCTGCGCGTCAGGCTGCCCCGGCCTGCTCTTTCCTGACCAGCTGGCAGGAGGTGGGGTGTGGGCGCCCCTCTGGCACGGAGAGCTGTGGGTGGGGTGTGAGCTCAGGGCTACCCCGCAGGGTCCCGGGCTCACTGGGCAGGTGAGGAAGGGAGCTGGGAGGACAGGACCCTCAGCTGAGCTGCCACAGGTGCGAGGGCCTAAGTGCACACCTGGCTCCCTGCTCATCCCTGGGGGGCGGGCAAGGGCAGGGGCAGGGCT